AAAAAAAAATTTGATGTACGAAGTAGAAAACATCCTGGGCTTTCCATTGATATCTCATGCATTTGGCGGTCTCTTTTAGCACCAAAGACAAAGGAAATCGCAAAAAAAGTTAAATGAGAAGATTTATTTTTGTTGAGTAAAAGAAAAATGCAGCTAATCTAAACCTTTGCCATGCACTTCTTACCTCCAACCACTCGGTGGCGCCAACACTCCCATACTCTCCCGCACTCCAGCTTGCAAACACAATACTCCTCCTCGGTTTGAATCCACCTATCAAAGTGGAAACACAATTAATCAAACTCATGAAGCCAGCATGTTCTTTAGCTGCTCAGCATATGACGTTAAGTGTACATCCAGGATCATTTTATTTGGAAATTGAAAACCAAACATCAGCTGCCGACAGGTGCTCACCGTTCTCCACCATGTCAGAGATGGAACGCGCTAGCTCGACGAGGACGCTGGTGCCCACGCTTGATGCTGCAAAGCCCGGGCCCCACGCATCCCTCTGGGCCCCAATGACCACGTATCGATCTGCAGACGGTCACAGGACATTCATCACTCACATCGTTTCCATATTTCCTGATCACAGGATCTCTCTCATTACTCATCTTTGCTGTACCTGCATCCACAAAGCCTTTGATGACCCCAAAGACATTATTTATCCTTTTCTCAGTAAGGACATTGTTGACTTCCACAGTAATAACATCGCTCTCATCTCCGAGTCTATTGATGCCCTCCCAACCATTTGGCTGAGTTCTACCCCCGAGCTGCCTGTTGGATGCAGACAAACATCAACCCTTTATTGATGCCCTGTTTATTACAAGCTTCAACCATCTTTCTGATACCAGTATGATGTTTGTGAGTCTTACCTCAGAATGTTCATTCCCATGCCTGTTGTGATAGTTTGAGCCGAAATATTTGGCAGGCCTGAAGACTGCACAGGTGGAAACTGGGTGTGGTTGAAGGAGGGGAAGCCTGGGGTGTAGGGATCCCCAGAGCCCATGTGGACCTGTGGGAATCAGACAGATGAAAAGATGATCTTAGAGTGGATCATGACATCTTTTCAAAGGTAGCTTTAATCAAACTAAACACATGAACCCCATTATTATTGTGGTTATCATTTAGATTACTGCACTGGTAGAGGAAGCACAAGTACTTCCTCTTATGGACAGTGCTAGGTTTAAATGCACTTCACAACATGTGTATTGTCGACATGTCGAAAATCTGAGTGTTTTTTTCCAGGTGATTTACACCTGAGGAGTAAAAACTGTCTTCACTCACATGTCCAAAGAGTGGAGTGCTCTCGCCGATCGAGTAATCAGCAGGGTCTGGGTAGATCAGCACAGCAGAGGCGTTCACTTTGGCTGCATTGGCTACCTATAAGCAGAGAAACAAGGGAATGGGAAGCTAAGTTCACCAACAGTAAAATTATTCAAATGAAACACATAATATAAAACGAAGTTTCATGGTAAAAAGGGGAAGCGTGAGGCTTTGTTTACATAATTTCTTCTGCGATTAATAAAGTATGGTTCTGATTCAGTTGGGGAGAAAGAGGATGAGATGGAGATGACAAAGGAGAATGCAGTGATGGAGGAGGCAGATGAAGGAAAGGAGGAGAAAGATTATGAGAAAAGTATGAAAATATAAATCTGCAAATCTTAAAAGGTCATATAGTTCGGAAGGTCTCGCCTGTACAGAAACACACACACGAAAATTCTAATGGAATTCTACTGAAGGTTAAGAACAGAGGACATCTACAAATATTGACAAGTACCACAGGGAATAAAGTCCTGTTCAAATGATGTTCCACCTTATTTTGAAACCACCCACCTTCTCAGCAAAGCTGATCCTTCCAGCTCTGACCAGCATCACCCTGTTATTCATGTCGATGTTCATGTCCTTTAACTGCCTCAGGTCATCTTCCTGTCCATAATGGGCATACAGCACTGCACCCTGGAGCCATCAGAAACAGAAATGTCACTGCAAGTGTCACTGTACATTTTTCCTACTTATAATTTAGCCTTCTGATTACCCTTGCTGTTCCACTGGCGCTGTAGGACAGGAAACCTGTTGGATGTTCCTCTGATTCGTTCTTGAAAACTATTCTGTTGTATCCAGATGCTGGGGGGTCCTGAACCTTGACAAAGTGCTCATCAGTCCAGGTCTTCATGCTGTACTCCTTAAACTTTGTTATCACCTTGTTCCCCAGATCTTCATCACCAGGAGAACCAGCCCGGTGGTTGCTGCTGGTCAGCTGACTGTGACAGAGAAAACAAAAACTGGTTACTTACTGTTAAAAATACAATACACATAACAAAATGTGTGCAGTGCTGCAGTGCATGGAGCTTCTATTCACCCAAGGACAGCGTCCATACTGGATGTAGTCAGTTTTTCAGCAAGAAGCTTTTTTACATCATCCCAGTCCATGAGGGGAGCAGCACCGGTCTCATGGGCGACAGAAACGTCTTCATAACGGAGAGCAGAGGGTGCACAGGTGGGAGCCAAATCCTTATTCCGATGGACCAGGTAGCCAATCAAATAGCCTGAAAGTGGCAGTGATTCCAGATAAGGGATGGGAACAGATCAACTGAATTAAGTGGTGCAAGCCAAACCCTGACTGAAGTGTCTTACTCAGATGACAACTCAAAGCTAAGCCATGTTTTTCCAGATAAAATGACACATGGTAAGTCCCCTCACCACACCCACACACGGGAAAATTATGTTAAAATAGCTGTCGGACAGTGAACTTCCACTTTTTCACAAGTAACACACAATCCAACGGGACAGATCCCCAAAGAACCACTCAAGTTATTGTGCACTAAATTAAAGAGAGTTTCTTCCTCCCTCCCTCCCTCCCTTACCGATGATGAAGATGAGGAAGATTGTAGCTGCCATAAAGCAGAGGTTCTTGGGTGTACGTCCAAACTTTTGAGCCACATAGGGTGTGCGATTTGAGTTGTGATTCAGGTGGCCGCCAACGCCATTTCCCCCAGTCTCCTCATCTATTTCAGATGACAGCTTCATCTCCACCTGACTGTTGTCACCCTCCATATTCTGGGTCAAGTTGAATCGTGTGTAGGAGTGGGGCTCCCCATTAAACTATCACAAATAGAAAAAGGGTAAGCAGATTAAATTATTTCAGTAACTCCCAAAGAACAGCAGTGGTTTGATTTCAGGGTCTTTGCTTGGACTTACAAGAGGTAAAAGGTTTTTGCTTTTTTATGACCGAACAGAGATTTGACTGAAGAATAGTTCTAGATCTCAATTTATAATAAGTGCTTTACAAACCTAAAGATCAGCTAACTGGTGGACTTCCCAGTTTCAGTGTGGCTAGCCAAACAAGAGGAACCACTCACTAATTAAAACAAAATTTAATTATGCAATTTAACAGTTTAACATTTCAATGCATTTCTGAATATGAAACAATTGCATTTATCAAGTTCTTCCTGTGTTTGTTCCCAAAATAGAATAAAAATTAAATTCTGGTCATGCAAGTTCTCATTTTTGCAATAACAGTCATTTCAGGTGTGGAAATGATGATGTCCCGTTTAGGATGAAAGCTTAAAGCAAAGCCTGTTATTGTTGGGTTTACACTTATACTTACAATCTTGGATATTGTTGACCTTGCTTGGTCCATTGTTGCTTCTCAGAATTCTAAAAAGATAAGGAAGAAGAAAATAAATTAAACATTGCAGAGTTGGTGAATGCAGCCACAACTGAATCTATAAAGGGTAATGAACCAACCCTCTTCTTCACGTAGTGTGCGGCTTGAATTCTTTGTGCTTCAATTTCAGTTCCCTTACAGTGCGAGCAGTGTGTTACAGTTTTACTTGTGTGTTGTCCAAACAATACATCCCCACCTCTTGTCTAAACATCCACAGGGCTTCCTATCTTACTAACTAGAAAAACAGTGCCGTTTCCAGGCACAAAAGGCCAGTGTCCGTCAAAAAACACCATCTGAGACCCCTGTAAACTCCAACTGAATGCAAGACCACTGATTTCCCACAAAAATCGTATGCCAAACAAAGCAAGGTGTCAATTTAACAAAGCCAACAAGGTTCAAAATACAAGTTCTCTACATACAATCTTAAATACTGGAATTCGCAGCATGATAAAGAAGGACCTAAAAGCATAGCTTTTTGTCTTGCTATGCTTTACAAGGTAAAAAAAACTGACCAAAATGTAACTGAACAGCTTTAAAATCCAAGAAGTGGAGTTCCTCTTCATAGGAACCACATGCAGACAATGTGAAACAATGCTGCAACATTCATACTGCAATCACAATTTCAGGGGAAGTTTCCCAACCATCAGCACACAAAGGATATTTGTTGATAAGCTATGGCCACATTACAGAAACATTTTGAATACACACATTTTGATTGCTTAACATTAACATTTTTTCCTGTATCAGAACAGGCCTTTGTGGGATTTGCTTATTTAAAAAATATATTTAAACAAAAAAAATAAATAAATAAATAAAAATTGATGGCTCAACGTCTCTTCCATTAGCTGTGCCCTCAAGAACAAAAAGACCAAGCCATCTCAAATCTTGTCTCATCAAGAGTGGATCATTTTACTGTGTGAAAGTTTAGAATCACAGGGTTGAATCACTATCACGGTCACTGAACTTTGGCCTGATTAAAAACACTGAAAACATTGTTTTGTTGACGCCGACTTGAAATCCACATGGTCCGAGAGTTGGCATACAAATAAATTGTGCAGTCGTGGGTTGATGCATTCTGTAATGGTATGGACGTGTTTAATAATATAATGTGCGCTGTTCACACAAATCAGGAGAAATCCTATAATTATCCTTAGGACCGATTTGCAGCTACAGATGGGAGCTCGAGATGTCTAACTGGACAGTGCGTGTGGAAGGTCTGTGTGGGCAAATGCCAAGGGGACAAACAGGCGGGTGGGCAGGCTCGGTCTAATTTGCAGCAGAAGAACACGACCTTAATAGACTTCGATGGCAAGCTTCCAAGACAGAATAGATAAAAAGCTTAATATTTCCACAAAGCAAATGAAAGCACAGACAAGTTGGAACCTGCCCTTGGTAAAGTTGTTCAGGAAACACTTTGTCTATTCTCAGCACTATGAGGTAACTTTAGAGCATGGCTTGGCAGGACTACCTCGACAACCTTCAGGGTAATAAACCAGAACCACACTGAAAAGCAGTAAAATCAGCTCTAAAAAGGACAACAAATGAGCAGCCTTATATTTTTCTTGCTCACAACTTTAAGTGTGACTGATGTGAGCTTTAGAAAGTAGAACTAGGCAAGGATTAGTCACCGTGTAAAGCTAATTGATCTCTAAGGTGGGTAGAGCAGTGTCTACAGCCGTACATACCAAGCATACCGGTTCTGAGCTAAGCCGATCCTTTAATCAGATTAGCTACTCTTTGAGACTTGGAAACATATGGATATTAATATTAAATAGAAATCAAGAATTCATATGTTCAATTTCAACAGCACTTTACTAAAAACAAGCGTTTTCACATCACAGGAGAAGCCCACTTCTGTACATCAGTTGCTGAACCATAACTATAGCCAAAGGCACAAGCTGCATCGCCGTTGAAGAGGTTTTTGAACATGTGTGTGTGCCCAAGAGATAGTGTGTGTCCCACCCTTCTGAGAAGGATACTGGCAGGCATGGTCTCCCACACACACACACACACACACACACACACACACCAAGCTGTAACAGGAGATATTTGCCCCCTGTGAGCCCATGATCAAGGTTATTAAAACAAGATCTGGAACAGCGAGCCACTCTCACCAGTTATTTTGTGTTTTTCCACAAAATACAACACAGCATTTTGTCTCTTTTTACAAGTTTATCTTCCCAAAAAACATTCAAGCTGTCAGACACAGCTCCTTATCGAGTATGCCTCAAGTTCAACCTTCAAGGACTGCACAGTCCTGCAAAAAATTGAAATGTCACTGTCAGGGTCAGAGAGGTGGAGTACAGTCTGGCTCTACAAATGCAACTTCCTCGTACAGAGTTCAGAACTGAACAAAACCCTTTGTCTGAAAAAAAAAAGAAAAAAAAAAGGGCTAACTGTTGCTTCATCATGAGGCACAATCTGGCAACAAGAACAGAGCTGTTGTAAAGATGAGGGTGATTGAGAAGGACAAAAAGCTTGGAACACACCAATGTTTCACACAATAACTGAACCAGTCACTCTCATTCACCAGATTAACCGACCATTTTAAAATTACTAGCCACTGCCACCTTAAATCTGACATAAGCATAACAACAGTCATTATGGGAATTAAAGCCCTCCTGTGTGTCAAGGGCTCTTTATGCAACTTGTCTGTTTATGTGTATTCAGGTTCCAAAAGAAAAGAAAAAAAAATCCCAACAGTTATCTAGTACTGGATCATTACTTACAGCACAATTAGTTCATAAAATAATGTAATTACCACAATGCACTTGCACTACACCCCCTATGTTAATTACACATCCAAATACCACACAATTAGGTGGAAACCTCACCCAAGCACATAGTTAACCATAGCTGAAATAAAACCTGCATGTGAGAAACTTACCTGACCATTCACCAATGTACAGGAAAGGACGCACTTTATAGTTTAGACTGTATATATTGAAATATAGCTAAATGTTGCTTCCTAAGAGGAAAAGAACAACATGTGAGGTAAGCGGTGTATAGGAGTTATTGTAGAGTAGCAGATCATGTGAGAGTCACACTGGGGGAAAAGCAGGGCAGGCAAATCCTTTTTTTAAGAAGTATTTTTAAACAGCAGGAAATTCTGAATTCAAACCATCAGAAGCGACACTGGATGACCTTGAATTTACTAAACAGAGATTTCAGGAGAGTTTTGTTTCCTGTTCACTTTCACTATTGGGGGTTCTACTCTGATACCGCAGCATGTGTCTCTTCGGCGCAATTTAGCCCTCTATGCCTGTATAACAGTACTACAGAGTACTGTCTGTAGTATTATATTAAAACTGCACCCATTAAGACAATGACAGCTCGCAGTTTACAGGGCTGTCAAGTTCACCCACTGCTGCTCTGAGAGCCAGCTTCACGTGTTTTATGTGAGACAATTTGTCACCTTTATTTAGACCAGCGAGTTAGATTATCTGAGAAGTTCCTGAAAATCTCCCAACCATGTGCATCTTCATTATCCTATATTTAGCCGCCAGTAGCTTGTGTGACAAGGTCAATGAGAAGGCTCGACACTGGCCCGGTTACCTCCACGTTACAGGAACGGGTCGTTACGAGGACCTGGCGTTAGCTTACACCGGAACAATACTCCGCAATGCTGGCTGAACGTGACAACCGGCCTGCTTCATTATGGCGCCCAGCAAGCTGCAGCGTGTAGCTCGCGAGACAAAGTGACAGGTGACGTTCACGAAGACACCGGCTACCTACGTGCACGTGCTCGGATACGGAGCTAGCAAATTTGCTCAAAGTTTGACACATCAGTAAACTGAATATGAGATATATAAACATTTTAATACATCGCACTCTGAGGAAAGCGAAAGATGGCCATGTGCCATCTGCATCGAGTCTTATTTATTTTAACTAAAATAAGCTTTAACACTTCCCCAGCTCGACTTGAAATAGTGTAGCTAGGCCTTCATTTTTTATTTTTTTTTACTGTTATCGTTTCTTTTCTTTCAAAGCTCACCTTCTCTCCAGCACAACCCAACCTGAGTGACCTTCTGCTGTGTAACACGCGGTTCCTTCTTCGGTCGGCGGTCTTCCACCCTCCAGCCAGGAATTACGCTGCACTCACCAACTACCCCGCTTATTATTGGCCGTGCAGGATCTACGCACGCGTGACGTCAACACAGCGGAAACGTCAAAGCGCCCATTTTTCTTTTTTGCAGCCTTTATTACCGTCAAATCGAACTATGAGCCAGTATAAAGCAAGGTATGGACATCAAAGAGGCAGTAGGTGTTGTGAAACAGAGAAGGAAAGGGGGCAATAAAGAACGACAGGACGGCAATAAGCTCGCTTTTTCTTTAATTTGTGACGAAATCTTCATCGTAAAGTATTGCTCTATTTCTTTCACAAAAAGTAGACGTTTTTTCTGACAAATGTACATTTGTGCATGTGGTACTTGGAAGCGTCTTTGTCACAACAATCAATGCAGCCAAATTAAACATTTTTACTATAAAGCAACAAAATGACATAAAATAGTATCAACTATTAAAAAAGAAGGGGAAAAACAACAATATGTAAATGACAAGACCAAAATAGAGGGACAAGGAGATTATTCGCAGAACATGAAATTTGCTGTTCTGCTTCAATTTGCTTTTGTTTACTCAAAAAGTATTTGGATAAAATCTATGGATCAGCTTAACTAAAATTTCAATGTGTGTTCATTGTTTTTATTAAGGTCAAAAATGCCACAAATGTGAGGATGGAATATACAGCATGTTTCTTCCTAAAAGAAAGGTAAAAGGAAAGAGAGGAGGATTTGCACTGCATGGCATATGAATAATGCCAGATTCTTTCTGCAAATACCAGCTGGTTCTGAAGGTATTCATCATGCAGTTGTGTTTATATATTTATAAGTATGAGGAAGCACTAACAAAGAATAACCTATTGTAGATGAGGGATTATGTGGTATAATAAAGCAACCAATCTTTAACTTAAACTAAAATGTTCCAAACCACACAAAACAGAAATGCATACAGATGGAAGAAGGCCTCTGTCAGTGATGGAGACTACTTATTTGATAAAATATTTCTAGAAGCTAATGAACATAACCAAGTATGTGTGTATGTGTGTTTGATAACTCACAATATTAAAGTTGTCAAAGAAGACTAATAATATTCTTCCAAGCTTCTCCATCTTTACTTGTACGTTTAAAGTGCAAATTATGGAGATGCAAACTTTTACTGAAATCCAATCCTGGATTCTGCTGGATAAGCTTTTTTTATAATAGCTTCAGCTTTTTTTTTTTTTAAGAATCATAGTGTGCTGCGCTGTGGCCTTGTACCATATCTACCCTTCAAAATTATAGTTTATAAAGTCTAGAATGAATATTATAACCAGCAAATTAGAAATTACCATTTATATCTATGTAAGTAAATATACTTTTAAAATGTCCTAATAAAATATTATAACTGTACTTTTTTCCCTCTGGTATTTTTAGTATTTTGGTTGTGTTTAAAACCACAGTCTACCTTGGATGACCTTTCCAGATAAATCGTGGCTTTTCTTCCATCAACTGAAACCTTGAAATGAGGAACAGCAGACATGATAGCGGTCAGGACTGTTTTTTTTTGTGTTTTTTTTTATCTGTGTGTGTGTGTTTGGGGGGGGGCGTCATACACCCACAGTCCAAAAACAGTGTTGTCTTTGTGCTGCAGCTGTGAAAATGTCTAGAAGAAGACAAGACGTGAAGGTCCATTGACTGTGGTCAGTGTCTGAAGTTTTCCCATTTCTGCTTTTCATTCCCACACAGCACAGAAGTAAAGACAATGCTTTATATTCAGAATTAATACAGAGCAGTATTCTACCACTAAGACTAGGAGTGCAAAGTTTGGAAATTTCCACTGGAGCCAAAGTTGGTAAATAATTCAGTGCAAAGACTGATGCTGTCTGGCCTTTAGTAGCCAAAAAAGGAGACGACATTGATAATTTGGTTATTATACTACTCACTGTCATGTTCATTCAGACAGGGTTGACCAATCAATAACCTCTGGGATTGGGCATTGGGGTGGGCAGCAGCGAAGCAGTCGCCACTGATGGTAAATTATTAGTAAATCTTTGTAAACAGGTCTTTGTAAACTTTTTTTGATGGGTGGTTTTGCAATCTCGTTTATTTGCCATCACTTTTAATTATTGATTATTGAACCAAAACAAGCGCGATTGTGAAATTGTCCCTGTAATTGCTCTTTTGGGTTGACTTAAGTAATTGCATGTTTATGCCCAACATCAGGCTGCTTACATGTATTTTGCAGAAAGCAGTCATTGAGTGACGAGAGCGCCGGCTTTAATAATGTTCCCACACCATCATTTCCCCACATTTTTGTGTCACACCTGCTTTGGAAGTCCACTTGTTTGAGAACATTCAATGCTAGGACTCAGAAGCACACTACTGTGTATATATCTCTCTCTATACAAAACAGTGGACATGGGAAACAGTGCTTTCACGTTTAAGGATTTAGAGTTCTGAAAGTTCAAGAGCATTTATTACAGCAAGACGTCGTTGTAGTTCCATGTTGGTGTAAGCCAAGAATGTAAAGTTGTTGTAAGAATTGTTTTCAGGCCGGCCTTTGTTGTCTCTTTTAATCATTACTTGGCACACTGATCCGAAGTGAGGCATAGGGTAATAATGTGTGGTGTCTCTAACAATAGTCCAACTGTGCAAGAAGAGAGGAAGAAATGTTTTCTCAGAAAAAAAGACAAGACAAAAACAAGATGTCTGGAATTTAAAAAACGAAACATTTACTAAGGCACACGTGTTCAGTGTGCACGCAGAGAGAGGCTGTAAGACTCCACCGCTTTTCTGAAATCATTAAGAAATACCTCATGCAACTCCTTCCTTCCTTTCTTTCAAATAAGACTCCTGAATAGGTTTAATAGAGAGATCTCAGCAACTAGGCGTTGGGCTGCCATGAAAATTTGTGCAGACACGACATTCCTTGGAGAACGAATCCTGCAGACTGTTGAATTTTACTGTAACTGCACAAGGCTGACATTTGTTTCTCTGAATAAAATACACTCCTGTTTTCATGCACACCTGTACAATCAAATGGAATCCAAATCCAACCTGAGAGATCAGTTCTGTGTTTCTTATGAAGCTCATAATACTCCGATTTTGATGAAGCCGTCAGGAATGTTTGGCTTTAATAATGTGCTTCTCACTGAGGTCACAGATAAAAATGGTGCTGTGCTGGCCTGTTTGCAGCTCAGAAACACCTCTGAATATTACGTTACCCCATCATAAAAGTGCACTATGGTACAATAAATTTCTTTACCGCCATTTGTTCAGTAAACTAATTTGATATCTAGTGATATGGATCAATGCCCATGTTTGTTCACACATCATTGGCTCCAAGACGATCTTAATGCATCTTATGATCCACTAACAGTTTCACCTGCGGAGGTTTGGTTTCATTTCAGAGTTTGAATGAATGAATGAAGAGTTTGTTTTTTGGTGCATCACCGTGGCAAAATCGAGGTTTTGCCTCATACATTATGTTTTTTCCAAGGGCTGTTTGGGAAATGCTAGCATGCAGGTGATTCAGGTAAATGCTACAAGCCACTAATATTTAGGATGTGCAGGTAGCAGGGACTTTCCTCCTCTAACATGCATCACTGTGCACACATTAATACAGACTTAATAAATTAGCCAGTAAGCAGAACAGTGAATGAGAGAAGATAATATCCTTTCTAGGTGTATTTTTTCCAAACTGAAAAGCAGCGCGGCTTTTTTTTCTTTTCTCAAACTTACACACTGCTGCTAATGAAACCTTCATCTCAGGAGCTTCTTGGAAGCTTTCAGGACGATATGGGAAAGAATCATCCTGAGTTTCCCATATCACCGTTAAATCCCCAGAAAATAACTGCTTTGTGTCCTCTTTGTGCTTGTTTCTGTCTTAAAGTGAATTATAAGATCAAGCTTTGCAGGATGTACAGTCAGCAGTATTGATCCTTGTCTTTGAGAAAAGCAAATGAGGGTGGTCCCACAGCAGCTACAGCCCGACTTACAGCTCTTTATTCAGAGATGCTTGTGTTGTTGGATATGACAGAGCAAACCTGTTAATGACAGCTTTGATGCCATGTACTGTACACATTCACTCAGAGAATAGAATCAGTTACACGAGTCCCCCCACAAAAACTAGGTGAAAGATACTTGTTTTTATTCTTTGAGTCCTCCAGTGACAGTTTGATTTTTATTACTTTATACCTTCAGATCGACAGGTGCTGAAACTGCCGGTGACTTCCAGACTTGTTGCTGTATTTGTAAGAGAGGAAGTGTAAGCAGAACCACTGAACACCTGCACTCTGTGCAAAGCAAAGTGAAGAAGGGGAAGAGGTCATTTTGTGCCATGATTTATTTTGCTGATATGTTGTTTCAAGCATGAATGAACTTTAGGAGTTCACAGTTAAAGATTGAAAACCTAGTGTAACATTTAGCCCAGGCACTGCAGATGTTCACCACTTAATAACTCATGTGCATTACTTTAGTTTGACAGACAATTAAAGTCCAGCCATCTAGTTTATGGTTAGCTTGCAGTTCTGAGGGAATCAGCCCCAATGTAGGTGGTGGTGCATCTGTGTGACTGAGGCGGTGTTCCTGCAGAAACCTTGCTTCTGCAGCTGTTAACACACAGTCCAGCCCAACCATACAGTCACACCTCTGGCAAGGGTGAACTGAACCAACACAAACCAAAATATCCTCTGAAACCCCGACGGAAAAATCTGTTACAGTAAGAGCACAGATGAAACTAGCTATGGCCAGCATGTGTGGCAACATGGTGCAGCATAATTTTCTAATGTTAATTAGTACAAGAACGTATCAAATGTTGAAACTGGAATTTAATGACAGTAACACATAAAAAAAAAAGCTGGAAGAGTCAGTTACCTACGAAATGTTGGAACATCTAACATCTGATGAGGTTAAATAGTTGCATGATCGGAAATAGAAAAGCTATTTAATGTTGGCCATACACTCCTTTCTTATTTCATCAGGACAAAGAAGACAGAGTGTTGCTAAAAGGAGAAACTACATATCTTGATGATATGCGACATATCGCATTCTGCTCTAATTTACATTTTTA